CCCCAAAACCCCAAAACCCCAAAACCCCTTAATACCATTTAGTTCATTCAATTTTTGAATTGAAGTTTTAAAATCAATATAATTAGTTAGATTGTTTATAAATGTTATAACCAATGATTGATCCATTTAATTCAAAAAAATATCAACATTTGATGTTGTTGTTAATAAAGAAATCTTCATTCATAAGGTGAATACTGCATATGAGTTAGTTGGTTTCACCAAACTTGGCAGAGTAGGAACAGTTATAATGCTATAATGTGAGACTTGGTGATATCAAATTCTTGTTATTCTTTACTGAGTAAGACATATAGTAGCGAATATTCTTATGAGTATTAACGAAGTCAGCGCTCTTTTTAATTTTTGCTAAATAGCTCAATTATTTCGTGACGTTTTTTAGCCTTTGACAAGGTAATTGAGTAGTATCTAAATATGCCAGTATTAAGATTTAAAATTTCAAGTCTTTTAAATTTTTGATAAATTCTTGACTTCTGAAACAATGCATTATAATTTAACTTTATCTTACTGCATTGAATTCTACCCTTGGCTTCTTGAGTTAGCCCTTCCTCTTTTTGAGCTGGAATGAAGAAACTTTCATCTTTTATTGTTTTATCTTTCTTAGCTACTTAATCTTCAGTTAGATAGTTTCAAGATTAGCCTCGCTTTATTTAAAGAAATGCTGAAATCTATTAAGATGGCTAGCATCTTCGATAAGAGGTCAATGATATTCTTGAATACAAAGTCGAAATTCAGTTTTAATTGTAGCAGCAAACTCAGCATTAATCTTTAAAACTATCGTTATGTTGTAATTTCAAGCAAGTTGAAATTCGGTTGTGGCTAACTCCTTTTAAGAGTCAAGTATCTTATATGCTCTGTTTAGACAATAAGATATGTTTGATTTTCAGCCATCGTGTGTAAACCAATACTAATTTAATTGGTAAATGGCAAAGTTGAGGCTCTCTAGACAGACCTTTATTTTGTCTGACCTGTGGTAATCTGGGAAAAGATTTACCTTATCTAAATTCACTTGATAGCACTAATTTAAACTTCTTCTTAAGAATGTTCTAATCATGAGCTAGTCTCTTGAGAAGCATCCAACAGTTTTTTATATCAGATATGCTCTAAGTTTACTTAATCAGTTCCATATCTAAAAATATGAATCCAATTTAATTATTCTATTATTAAAGATTCTAATTTTATTAAATGTCGTATCTTGAACATTAGGTACTAGTTGAAACCAGTCAAAATATTTCAGAAGTAGACTATCAACTGTCTCCTGAAAAGCTAGCTGAACTTGAAGCACTTATCAAAACCATGGAAGAGGTCACAAAAATGATGGAATAAGTTCATGACGAGGTGGAAGTTGATGGTGTTCTGTACACAGCGACTCAAACTGCTGCAAAATTTGCTTTTGAGGCCTTCGATTATGGAATCTAATCGATAGGGTTTATTCTCACAGAAGCCAGAGACCTGATTGACATTATCTAAATAGTCATTGACAAAACTGGAGAGCAGTACTTCTAGATATCTTTGATTAGAGACCTCAAGGAACCTCTCATTAACTTAGGGCACTGGATAGGGACCATGAAACACTACACGGAGAATATCCAATAAAATTATTTCGCTCAATCAATTCTAGTTCTTAATAAAATATAAAAGAACTATAATAAAAACTAAGATTTATATACTCAAGTCTATAAAGAATGGTCTAAATTTGAACTAGCTCGGACTGATGACTTTTAAAGCGATTGGGCAGATATTGAAAAAGCAATCAACAGGATTGCAGATCAGTTTCTCTCTGCTTTGAACTCCCAAAAAATCAATGATATGATGGCATCTGTGGCGAGAATGTTCAGCTCAAAATGCGAGTAGGTAAACAAAGATTTGAAAAGCAAAAAAGAAGAACTAAATAGAGCTGAGGACCGCTTAACTGAAAGGAACAATACCAGAAACTGACTCAACTTCTTGTGGCTCGGCTCTTGGGTTGCAGCTGCCATTGGCTAGGCTGTAATGGCTAGCGAGGTTGCTGCTGCTCATGCTGCTGTAAACAATGCTTAGAGAACCTTGAAAAAAGCTATTGCTTCGAAATATGAGCTTCTTATTGTTAGAGAATGCATAGTCAAAGCATTAACCTAAATGAATGCAATTTCGCACCTCCATCCTACCTTACTTACTACTGCTCAGATTATGAAGTTCACCACTGCTAAGGTTACTTCATTGGTCAAAGAAACTAAGGTATAAATCGAAAGAAATTCAAAATACAACCCAGGATTTGCTTCCGAGATGCTTCTTGAGTATTACGAGACTAACAGCAAATTGCTGGTAAGATATGTGCAAGCTTGGGATGTCTTGCAATCCAAGGCCATATCGGGAACACCAACAATTATTATTAAGTTGAAATGAGTAAGTTTTCATTTATTCTAAAACTATTAAAATTTTAGAAAATTTATTATCACTTTAAGAGTATTTCCTAATAACATCTATATTTCTATTACTTATAAATTGATATCTTGGGGTTTTGGGGTTTTGGGGTTTTGGGGTTTTGGGGTTTTGGGGTTTTGGGG